GGAACATTCTTGTTACTGAGCCAACTGGCTAATTTGCTTAATGAATTAAAGAGGCATCTCTTTATTTAGTCTCGCTACTATTTACTTACTTTGTGCATTTACCTGTTTGTTTTATCAAATGCATATGTTATTTAACTCTGGCTCATTTGCCTTATGTGTTCTCCTTGCTGATCTTCCCAAGTTAATTACCTCCAAGTTGTCAGCAAAAATTCACTTCAAAGGCTTTTTATAATTTCTGGCCCATTTGGGAGTCAACTGCAACGGATGAAAATGTCTTGATATGTCTTTCTTCTTACTATATAAGTATAGAGGGCAGCATTCTTTTTTGCGTTTGCTTTTAATGTGTTTGCATAGAAGTGATTTGTTCTTTTCTGGAAGTTGCATGAATCATAATGGATTCTGTAATTGAGTTTGACCCCCAATCTTCATTAATTTCTGTACAAGATTAGAAAAAAAAACCCTTAGATCTTTGAACAGTGCCCCATGAAACTATATTAACATCATTGTGTTCTTTCTGGTTTCTGTCTCCCTTTTTCCTTCCAAGTGGTTGTTATCTGCTGTGCTTTAATTATACTATCTTTTAAAAATCCTCAGCTATTTCCCACCCTGCTGGACTCCAATACATCTTCACAAGACAAGAGGTCCCATCTTATTTTAATCTTACTCGATTAAAGGCAATTGGGATTTTATCCTCTGCCTGCTGAATTCAGTGTCTACATTCCCATTGATTTTGTGGGCTGATAGATTGGTTTGCCAAGGATCACATAAGTCAAGAACCATGACTGTTTGGAATTATGACTGGCTTTCCTTTCCAATATATTTTACTCAAACTTTGGATAGCTAAGTGGACTGGCCAAGCTTCCGTTTTCTATTCCAAAACATTGACATCTAGAATAAGACAATCCCAGTGCCAGTGTTTACATGGATTTTTGTAAAGTTTCTATTGTAAAGTCAGACAAAATGCCAGAACCAATACTTGAAAAATCCAGAATGACAGCAGATTTCTTACTCACTGATTCTGAGCGTCATATTAGTTCCAATTCTATCAAGGTTTTGATGGCACTATGTTTTTATTCCTCTACTTCTGCTAAATCTGATCAATATTGCCCAGAAAAATATTCATCAATAAAAAATAAAACAAATCTCTTTTGAGTCAACATGTCTCCTGATGGCTCCATGGATATGTCAATATAATTTTGTGGCAACAGTACAGAGGTATCATTTTTTTTAACTTCCTGGTATATTTTACAGTCCCTGTGTTTCTTGGTTTGATTTCCATCTGATGATGCAAGTTGTAGGGTAATATATTATGATTTGTTTCCCAACAAGTAAAATGCCTATTGGAAGGATAAATATGTTGCTGTTGCTGCTGCTGTTTTTTTTTTAATCTGGATTATTAGTATTAGGAGATACTATGGTCCATTGAGTCAAAACCTGGGACCTTGAGGTGTAGCTGGAGATAGTTGGGATGTTGGAGAAGAAGCAGGTTGATGGACTGGTTATTATCAATTTGTGCTCTTGGTTGAAGTTGACTCTAGAGAGCACCAGAGTTTGCAGCAGTATTCCGCCTGAGCTTTTAGGTGTCAACAGGCTGACTAGTGAACCCCAAAAAAGTAGGCACTCTCAGGAACTTTGTAATCCCAAAAGCAAAACTTTATTGGATACACCATTTCAGTACTGAAAAATCAAAACCAACTCTGGTTTTTCCCATGCAATGCTTGCATGGTTAAACACTAGCTTTGCCTACTCCCCATTCATGGATGTTCACACTGTCCAGTTATGAATCGTCCTTTTGTTTTGGGAACAGTTCACTTCTTTGTCGGACACTTTGTCGAGTGGGTTCTTGGCTCTCATGGTCTATCCCTGGAACATCTGCATTCTTTCTCCCTCTTCCTTCCCCCCAGTTCTTTGGCAAGTTGAATAGCAATAAGACTCGAAAGTTTCAAAAGCGGTTCAATCTTGACATTAGGTTTATATATCTCAATTTCTTTTACATATACATTTGTCTAAATATCGTCTACTTCTGTCCTTAATTTAAAGTTTTACAACTGATCCTGGAATCAATTTTGAAAGATGGGATCATAAGATGTTGATTAGCAGCCTGTAGTTCATTGTTCTAAAGCTGGGATGAGGACCTGCGGTCTAAGGGCTACATAAAATCCTCATCCTAACCTTTCTGTTACTGTGCCCTCATTTCTGACTCCTGGATTTTACCCCTTTGGAAATGGTTCTATATATATAAAATTTGCTGAACTTACTGAAATATGCTTGAATTCTATACTACTGGTCTGTCTTAGTTAAACCATGGTTTAGTATGTTGTGCAAACCATGGTTTAGTGTGTTGTGCAAAGTGTGTGTTGTGGTCCAGTGAGAGGGAGAAAAGAAAGGGGTAAAAAAGGAATGAGGGACATGCAGAAAAAATTATCCAAGGTTGCTCTATCCACTATGGGCTCTGACTCTGCTGTTGTCAGGTTAAATGACCAGATGCACAGCTGAAGGCTTCAAATAGCTGTTTTATTGCTCAAGCCTATATACTGGAATCTTCTCAGACTGACAATTTGCACTTGAGTGAGACTAGATAAGGTTCAACAGCATTCAAGGGGGATTGGACTTGTCCTCTTGTGCTCATATAGAGATTCCAGACTAAGTCCTCATTTGATTCCTTCCTCTGGATTGCCCAGTCTCTCTTCTAGAGCTGTTAGCTAACATTGTTAGGCCATATCAACTGATTTTTGTTTGATAGTCAATGGCCTTCCATTGGATAAGGAATCAATGAGGCTCTGGTTTTGCAAAAGGAATAAAAATGATATGGTAGAGTGAGGGAGGGAGGGAAGACAAACAGACGCTGAAAATACTTGCAAATATATGTGGAGCTTTGTTGATTCCACATTAAGTGGAATAACCCATCCAAGTGAAAGTGGAGCCCTCATTTAATTAACCCTCTTGCTGTAGTACCATGTGATTAAATGTGACGGAGCTGCTCCTTGGGGTTCCACCGACTGAAAATACTAACAATAATCATTTGTTTTGTTTTTATATTTAAACACATTATTACATAGCTTGGTGTGGAGATAATTACCAATTTCATCTCCTGTGTTCTCCTAATGTTCATTAATAATAATAAAAGGTGGTAGGTTAAAAACTCATTTAATTGCCTTTATGTTAATGACATTATGAATAGCCTTAGCTACAAGATTCTAATTTTGTCCAGTACCTTGTTTCTTGGCAAAACCCCAAGAGAGTTGCTCATTTTATCAGCATTACCAATTCAGAGGTTTTCTTTTCTCCACCCACCCTCTTAGAGGTAGGTTTTTGTACATAATCAAAATTAATGCACAACACATTTTGCAAGGAACTGTGTAAGAAGCCTTCTGAATAATTGACTCAAAAGCACCTACGGGAAAATTTATATATATATATATAAACACTTGGATAATAATATATTTTCATGTTGTCCCAAAGGTGCTTTTTTTTTTTCAAGAGGCAAGTAGACTTTTTGGTTTTTTTTCTTTGAAGATGTTTCGCTTCTCATCCAAAAAGCTTCTTCAGCTCAGAAAGTCCAGTTGCCTCTTGAAAAAAAAAAGCATTTGGGACAACCATGACCTGAATGACTGAGAATCTCCATAGATTGTTGGAGGCAATATGCGTGTGTATATAACACACTATAACACGCTATATAACACACTATAAAACACGCTATATAACACGCTATAAAACACTGTGAAGCGGTATATACATCTAAGTGCTATTGCTATTTGTTATTTGATTCATTTCTCAGCTAACCCTAATCCTAACATTCTCCCTACAATTAGAGCATTGGTATTTTTATCAGGTATATTTTGGAAATGGTGCTGATTGACATAGAAGTGAACAGGAATGAGCTGTTTGCCCTCATGGATTAGGCAGGTCATGACTGGAAAGAGCTTCTTAGGTAGCTTTCTTCAAAGTTTTCAACTCTAAATCTTTCTAGATATAGACTACAATTCCCATCTTCCATGATAATTGGCCATTTTTGTTTCTGAGATTGATAAGCGTCATAGGTTAATAAATCCCAGTTCAGGGAAAGTACTGCTAGATTAAATAAACTTTTAAACCAAATTAGCTTAATAATAATAATAATAATAATAATAATAATAATAATAATAATAATAATAATAATAAGTAGTAGTAGTAGTAGTAGTAGTAGTAGTAGTAGTAGTATAAAAATAAGCCAGAGTCGAAAAAAAAAGAACTGGAAAAAATCATGAAATATCGCAACCTGGCCATCGAAACTACACGATTATAGATGAAACATGTAACAGTGATACTCATTGTCATCGGGGCACTTGGTACCATGTCCAAGAATTTTACAAAATACATCAATAAATTGCAGCTTCCTGCAATAACACCAGCGGAACTGCAAAAACTGTGCTACTCGGAACATCGTACATCTTAAGAAGGTACTTGGTTGATACCTAGAATCCTGGCAGCAACCCGTATCAACCATCAGCGCCAATCAATAATATTTGTGATACATTTTTAAATGTTCAGTTGACTGAGTTTCATGTTTAATGAGTAAAAGTATAATAATAAATCTATTATTATTATTAATCTGAACATCTGGCTGACTCTGCAATGATCAATAATAATAGTATCTTTGCTTTCTCCTGTTCAGTTTATTCTATTTAGCCCACAAAGTAATGAGAATCATGTGGTTACTCCTATTGTATTTACCGTATTTTTCGGAGTATAAGACTCACCGGAGTATAAGACGCAGCTTAGTTTTTGAGGAGGAAAATAGGAAAAAAAAAATCTGCCTACCAAGTATTCATCTGGCTAGCGTCCTTAGTCTGGTCAGCTTTAACACATTAGTTTGCTGGTTTTTTATCCCCTGCTTGGGGATAAAAACAGCTTGTAAGGCACAGCTGAGAAGAAGCAGCAATGAGAAAAGCAGCCAAAGCACAGGGGTGGGGGGGAGAGATTGCTTTTGTAGGTCTGTACCAGGGGTGGGTTCTACTTACCTTTACTACCGGTTTACAACGGGAGTGCACGCACATGTGCAGATCGTCAATTCTGACGTCCGGGTGGGTGGGTGGAGCCTCCCGCCGCTTTTACTACCAGTTCTTAAGAACCAGACAGAACCGGGAGCAACCCTCCACTGGTGTGTACCCTACTTAAATATGAAAACCAGAATATATGATAAAGTACAATAAAATATAGCAATCTAATAAAAATCAGGGAAAAAAATATAGAATAATGAATAAGGGAATGACATTTGCAGAAACAAAAAAATAAATTATTCATAAAATGTTAATATAGGAAAGAAAAGGAAGGAATTGTTCCGTCCCCGTCTCACACACGCACACAAACAGACAGCCAGGGGTTAAATAAACTGGCAGACAACCAATTCTTTCGATAAGAGGATTGGCAGCAACCCCGTAGCTGCTTGCCAAGAACTTTACTCATAAACAAGATACACACAGTTCAAGAATTGTCAAGTCCAGTCCGTAATTAAATCCAAGGCAGATAATGTTGTTTCCAAAGATGCAATGTGACTCGATAGTAGTTAGTTTTGTCCGTCACAGAGTCTGAATGGCCACCTCACCCCCTTATATCCCCTGTGGAGTGTGGTCCAGTGACTCAGTTTAATCTCTGGAACGCCTCCTTTTCTGTTGCGTGCGCTTGTCTCTCTGATGCTGGCGTGGATCCAGCCAAGACTTATCTCCTTCACCGTCCGATTGGCTCCTGGCCAATCTCTTCTCCTACGGGAGACACCTGAGGCATTGCCAGAGAGGAGGGTCCTGGAGAGATGCCTGGCCAACTCCTCTCCTTCATGCTCGGAGCCTTCTCCCTCCAATAAGTCGGCCTCGGGGGTCGGAGCCACAACAGGAATCTTGATCGTAACTTTAGCCTTGTTACTCTGTTTGAATGACCATCATAACTGGCTGCTATGAAATTCTTAGTTGCATTATTTACTTATTTAATGTATTTATTTATAGAGTCGCAGTGGTGGCGCAGTGGTCAGAATGCAGTATTGCAGGCTAATTTTACGAACTGCCAGGAGTTTGATCCTGACTGGCTCAAGATTGATCAAAATTCAGATGCTTGGCAACTGGCTCAGATTTATGACAGTTGCAGTGTCCCACGGTTATGTGATTACTTTTTGCAACCTTCTGGCAAGCAAAGTCAATGGGGAAGCCATATTCACTTAATAACCATGTTACTAATTGAACTGCAGTGATTCCCTTAGCACCTATAGCAAGAAAGTTAAAAAAAAAGGGCAAAACCCATTTAACAACACTTAGCAACAGAAATGTTGGGCTCAACTGTGGTTGTAATTCAAGGACTATCGCAATGTAGATAAATTCATTGCTAAATCTTTAAAATCTAAATCTGCTAAAATCTTTAAAAGCAGCAAAGACTAAAGTCTGAAAGAGTAAGTTTTTTCCTCTTTGTTTATAGACCTGACTCAGAATTAAAAAAAAAAGAAAAAGTGGCAAGCCATTTTCATATAACCATGTAGTCCACAAGCCAAGGAGAAAGCTATCAAGAAAAAAACATGGATATTTCCCTATAATCACCAAGCGTTGAGACAGAAATCTCCCTCTGAACCTAAAGAAATGAGTTTCAAAAAGGCAAATGCTGCCCGATATAAGCACATAAAATGTGATACAGACTGATGCGAAGAATTCATATAAGAGTGTCTGAACTGGCTGGGGCTGGTCAGGAAATTTGCTGTAGAAAAACAGCTCACTGAAAATATTGATCCAATGTAAGCTGCTGTGAAACTGTCAAATTCTATGTTGGGAATCATTAAACAAGGAGTCTAAAATAAAAATGTCAATATTGCAATAAAAAGCTATGGCATAACTGCGCTTAGAAAACTATCTACAGTCCTGGTTGCTGAACCTCAGGAAAGGATGCATGGAGCTGGAATAGATACAGAAAAGAAGAATTTTGAATTCTGAACACATTGCAGCTTTTAAACTTAGAAAAAGAGACAATGAAGAACCATGGACAGCTGAATTAAATTAACACATGGTATGGAGAAGTTGGATCAGAAAAAAAAATTTTTTCCTCCCAGACAATGGGATTGTTCATTCAGGATGTATAAAAGGAAATATTTATGCAGGAGATATTTTCCATTTATGACATTTGCTACTATGAGACATAATGTTGGCCAATGAGTACACGGAGGTGAAAAATTTTGGCAGGTTTTTTTTATCATGATAGTGATGTATTTCATCCAGTTTTGCAACCAGTAAATCTCTCATTACAAGTTACTACAGAACATAAGTAGGCTTTGTAGACCTAACAGAGCCATCAAATTAGTCATTGTAGGACACGAAGTGCTGGGCTCCTCTGATAATAGAGGAAGTGATGGTCTTCCTAGGATATCCTGGAGAAAAATGGACATATTTCAAAATAACCATTTTTCTACTACTTACCTTGATGGGCATTTAAATAAGGAGTTATATTCAAGAGCAAAGAGTGCTTCCCACCCACACACTAATAGTGCACTCTTTCTATCAACTTGGAGGAGGCATCTCACCTAGCTTGCTGACTAACACAGAGGAACTGAGAAGACAGTAAGTAAACAAACAAGCATAGGTTGGATAATTGAGAGCCATAAAATGAAGCAGGAACCCAGTGTAAGAAGGAAATGGGGAAAAAATAATAAGCCCAAAACTGGAGAAATTGAGTTCTATTGAGAGGGCTTCAAAAAGAAATGGACCTTCCATAACGGTCAATATTTCTTAATTACTATGGGATTTATCTTGACAGCTCCTTAAATTATTATTTGCTTGCTAGCTGGTCTTATAGAATATTACAGCGATGGCTAACCTTTTCTGGGCCAAGTGCCCAAAGTGTGTGTATGCGTGCATGCGTGAATGCATGTGCATGAATGCATGTACTTGAACCCCCAAAATGCAATGCGTGTGCAGCCCTTATGCATGCGCCTCAGCCCCCCCTCCCGCATACACCCTGGCCACCCTCCTGTATGTACATGTGCGTTCCCTCATGCCCCCCAGCCCCTGCGCATGCACTGCAGAGACCCGAAGACCATCTGGCCAGCAGGAGGCAGCTGCGCATGCGCAGTGGAGCTGAACTGGGGTGACAGCTCGTGCGCCATCAGAGAGGCCACTCGCGTGCCATAGGTTCGCCATTACGGGGATATTATAATCACAATACATTTTAAGCGACTGTATTACGCAATATTTATTTATTTATTTATTTATTTATTTATTTATTTATTTATTTATTTATTTATTTATTTATTTATTGAATTTCTATACCACCCTTCTCCCGAAGGACTCAGGGCGGTGAACAGATTAAGATTTCATATACATATAATATATATATATATATTTTATAAACAGTAAATAATAAATTGAGTCAACTTGGTGTATCTGCTAAGACCTTGGCATGGTGAAATTCTGATGCATTTGTATTTCACTGGTACAATAGAATTTACTGGAATCATTAAGTGTTTCCTGCCAACTGTTTTTAACAGATTTTAATAAGCCCTAAACAAATTGTGTCTCTATTCTATTCTAGTGCCACAAAAAGAGAGAAAGTATATTTCACATTAGCTAGCATCCTCCTCCCTTTGGTTCTGAAGTTTACTGAAGCATCCTGATGTTCGCTTGTATCTTACTTATATTCTGAAGAGATTAAAAGCATCTGCTTGGTTTAATTCATGTCCTGGTCCTTTCTTCCTGGGAAAATATGTATACACAGATTTACTGTTCAACCAATGGGGAGAACCTTCAAAACCTGGAAGAGAGAAGTAATGCTCTCTTAACTCTTTTAACTCTACAATATTAGACCACAATTTCCTCATCTAGAACGGGATTAGAAAAACAGTAGAGAATAAAACTCAAATAGTGTAGATTCTAGTGTGTTAACCTTTCTAGAGAAAAGACTCTGGGGACATACTTGAAGGAAAGTGTTTTGTTTTTCTATAGCAGATGGATTGCTCTGGTAAGGTAATCTTTTAGTTATGCCAATAAAATGAAAGGTTCACGGGAAACTCTGAAACTGCCAGCAGTTGGTAGAGCATGACTATTACCCAGGCAGAAATAAGGCCAACACAATGATAAATGAGCACTTCTGGCCGTGCTCTCTGTCGACTGAAGGATGACCCGGCTTCTCCTTGCATCTGAGCACCAAGGAAGCCAACATTTTTCACTTCGCCACTTAACAGTGGACATTAACTTAGCCCTTTCTGAAAGCGCTGACCTGGAGGGGACCTTCTGTGGTTCTCCCTGCTGTAATCGCTTGTTCAGCTTGTAATTGTATCAAATGGCATGCCCCCTTTCCAGCCACTTATTGGCCAATTAAGTCAAGTCCTCACTGAAGGGGTCCAGCTGGCGTCAAGTTCTCTTAGATGAATTGATGGAAGACCCTCAACAATTTCTGAACCCAATTTAATGATCTAGGTGATAATGCTAGTTATTCTTCACAGTCAAGGGAATTTGCAGCAGCTGTTGTCTGCAAATTCATGTTTGTATGCAGTGGAGTATTGGAAGAGTGCTACACTACCACCCCCTGCACCGCCGCTGTACAGTAGGTCTGACTGCCTTGCGAAATGAGAGGTTTGACATTCATGTAGCATTGCCAAGAAAAGGCAAGCTTGTGCGGTGCGTTATCTGAAATTCACTGTGACAACCCTGCGCTGAGAAAATGCACACTCTGTAACAACAATCCCAAATCAAAAGAGTAGAGTTGCATGAAATAACCCCACTGACATCCTACATAAAGGCATGATCAAAAAAAAAATGCTGATTTAGGATTAGATGCACCCGGTTTTAACCTTAAAGAAAAAAAGGAGAGAAATACCTCTTCCTTATTGAACAGCATATGCTGCTTTTGAAAATCGACTCATTTTCAGAAGCCCTGTGTTATGTCAGGTTGCTGATGACAAGCCCACATCAATTTAATTCCTTAAACCATAATCAAATACTCTTATCCAACATCATTTACTAAGATTCAGTTCATAAAGGTTGATATGGAGCAGAATAATTGTAAATGATACTAGAATTTAAACACTGGAGGATCTCTCATGATCTTGTTGGCTTACGGCATCAAAATTAAGGGGTAATACTTGGTAATAGTCCTGATCCTTGATATTTTCCTTGGAGGTTGTTTCCTTCTATTCCAACTCCTTCTTCCATTGAAGACAGTAAGAGGATCTCCATGTTCCGATTTTGAGCTAATATTTTTTAAAGGAACCCAATATAGAGGACTATCCTGGGATGGTGGATTAAAGCCAACTTTAAGATAGGGAACAGTGATGTCACAAAGAATGCAACTACATCGCAGAACTTGTCATGGATGCGTGGGAAGGCTTCAGGCTGAAGGGCTACCTTCAAGTAGTAGAGGGGCAAGGGTACCCCATTATATACCCCTTTTCCACCCAATTCTTTTGTACTGATTGTGATGGGTGGGTAAATTGTTCTGCCTAGCAAAAAATATGCACATTAATGTTATCAGCAATGAACAAACTCAGTATCAGGTTATACCACCCGGAAATGATAGAGTATCCTACTTGCAGATTTCAATGCTCCCTAAAAAAAGATCCTAATTGAAGTTTCACATCCAGATTTTCTGCCTTAGAAATGCCATTATTTTCTTTTCTCAGAGGCAGCATATAGGAAAGAGAAAATGAGTTAAGAAGATGAAGTCAGGGTTAATCTTTTAAAGGAGGCTCAAACTTCTCAACTTGGCCTAGATATTAATCTTTAAAACTAAATCTATATTTCATAGTACCTAGTGTGAAATAAAGATAAAAATAAAACAGAAATAACCACTGAGAAAATATTTATTGAATTTCAGCTTGCTCTTTTCTGTTTTCTATACCTGAATTGCATTTATATCCATGCTAGCATTGGGTTTTGTGGCTAAAAAATTTATTGATTATGCATAAAAGTTGTTGGCAGAATGCTCACTAATAGGAGGAAACACAAGAAGGAAGGAAGGAAGGAAGGAAGGAAGGAAGGAAGGAAGGAAGGAAGGAAGGAAGGAAGGAAGGAGCACCAAAACAGACAAAAAATATGATTATGATTATTGTATTTATTACGGTTTATATACATCTTGGTCCAACGAGGCTGGAAGCAGCACATCTGAATGAATAAATTAGCCCAACATTAAAATAAAGATCATGATTTTTAAAAGAAAACAAGATTTTAAAAGAAAACAAGAAACAAACAATTTCAAAAGAAAACAAGAGCTCCCCAAAGAAGAACAACCAAGCCCACAGCAGGGCCCAGATTGCAATAATAAAATTTGCTCACACTTCTTGCTGAAACTCATTAGAGGTGATCAGGCAAATTATTGTATAGAAATCTGTCATTTTTTCCTCCACTGATCCAGCTGTTTCCATATTTTGTCCTTCTGGACATCACTTTGGAATTTCTACAAATTATGTATGCATTTGGACTTGGAGCAATACAATTAAGCTAGCCAACTTCCTGACATTTTCTGCTAAGGTCTTTGGTATGTTTTAGAAAAGTGGAAGGATACAAAAGATTGTTAATCATGCATTTGGATTTTTTCTTTTTCTGAAGTGAAGTTTATGCAACAATGATTAGAAGGAATGCAGAAGGAAGCTTCTCTAGACCAGATTTCTGTAAAGATTTTAAATGCCTAGGCAAATAAAAAGAAAACTAAGATTTTGCCCCAAAGCTTCATGTTTGATCGTTTTCCTCACATGTTCATGCCCTCCTTTCTTAGTGCTTAATTTAGTTTCCTGGGGACAATTACAGGTAACTAAAAAATCAGAGAAAAAATGGATAACCAGGATTTTTTATGAAGTGATTAAAAAAACTGAGCATTTTCTGTGAAGAGCTCTGCACCATAATATATTCTAGGATATATTCAGAAACTTCTCTGTTACACTGGGAAATCAGCAAAGGAACCACCTACTGATTCTATTACCGTAGTTGTTAGAAGTATGGTTTCCCCCTTGTATCTGCAGACTTGAATTGACTGATGCAACTGACTGATGGTCATTTTGTCAATGCCAATGGTGTTCAAGTGGTCCAGTTGTTTTGGGATTGCATCCAAGGCACTTATAGGTAGTTCACAACCTATGACCATAATACAGCTGTTAAGTGTTGTTAAATGACCACAAGTTGTTAAGCAGAGCACTGGATGCCTCAGGGCTGGGGGATATCCTGAAAAGCTTAGCATAGGTCCAGGCCAGCCTGCCTGCCTGGACCTCTCAAGGGGTGGGCCTCCCTCACCCGTGTGAGACAGCTCGTGCTCCACTTCCCATCACTTATGCCTGCTTCTTCTCCCCCCCCTGCCCCAACACACACCAGATTGCCTGAAGGCCTGGGGACTGCTTCCTACTCTGTTGGGTCCTACACTCTTGTCACCGATTGTACACTTATCTTTGGAACATCTCAAGAACTCTGGAGCTCATGTTAGAGGAGGAGGGCAGGCCGCTCCACTTCTCTGTGCCCCTTGGCTGCTCTGAAAATGGCACCCACTTCTGGGATGAAGCTGTGTGGCTACGGATGGATTGGTCCTAACATGAGCACCAGAGTTCTTCTAAAGCTAACTGCGTGATAGGGGACTGGGGGTGGTGAGGAGGGTGGGATCTGGCAGGATGGAAAGCAGGCCCCAAGCCTTCAGGGACCTAGGGTGGGGAGAGAAAAGCAATCCTAGAGACCAGCAGCATGGGATGGGGAGGAGATAACCAGAAGGGTTCTGCAATGTCCCTGCAGTTGGTCGTAAGAGCAAATGCACTTGATGTTGAACTTAAAAACTGGGTTGTAAGTAGCTTCTGGGGGATCTATTTTAACTCTCAATGATTGCTAAGCAACTGGTTGTACCTGAGGACTACCTGTTTACTAATAGTACTATTCTTGCTTTCTTTTATCAGTCATCTTACTTCTTTATTTACAGATACTTGAAATTTCTCCAGTTCTTTCTCTTCTACTCTGCTCTCCAGGTACTGCCATGTCCACTATCCAGACTTTTTTGTCTTTCTTAGCATTAATTGTCACTGTAAGTCTGGGGTGTTATGTAAGAGGCACTTGTCTGTTTGAATTCTAAAGTTCTTGAGAAATTTAGCTTCTTTGTTTTCTGTGATTTTTCTTTTGCCTTGTCCTACAAACCTGAACTTTAATTGGAATTTTTATCGGGAATGTGGGCCTTCTCTATCATGATTGAGAAAAACTGCTTTATATTTGCAAAAAGTATGATTGTGGAGAAAGATTTCCAATCTGTGGAAAATCTGGATGGATAAAGAAACTATCCAGTGTAGACATTCACCTGATGTATGAGGGGAGGATCAAGTGATGTAGCAAGCCAACTTAACAGGACCAGAAATCCTAAGAATATTTTTGGGCAATTAGAGCCCCTGAACTCAAGGTACATAGGTTTCCTTCTCTTTGCACACCACCACAAAATCATTTTACCTGCTCATTGCAAGAAGAAGGGGAAAAAAACTAAATGTTTACAGAGTTCTCTTAATTTTTACCCCAGTTTATATAGATTAAGTTGGCCAAAACAGATCCACCTCTCTATCCCAGAAGAGCAGCCTATGTATACCTATTTGGAAGAAGAAAATACCAAAATCAGTGGAACAGGTTACAAAAGGATGTATGCCTAGATTTATGCTTGCTAAACTCATTTTTCCAGTATGTTTTTCATGTGGATATCTACATATAGTTATCTATGGAATATGTACATACAAGAGAATGGTTTGTATGTAAAAAATGCATGAGGGATTAATTAATTTTTATAAATGGTTGGCTTATTGTGCAGGCAATTAATCTGTCATTAATTCCAATTATATATCTAATCTTCCTTTTAGGGGGGATCATTTTCCATTCAGTGTTGACTTCCTTTTGCATTAATAAATAGTTGCATCATCTGTAACACTGCCCAATTAACCATGTCCTCTGGGTTATTTAATTGTAGAACTTTTAAATACTCACAGAAAAAAACTCTAGCTAAATATGAGAATAACTCTGAAAATAATCAAAAAAAGATCACATTTAATCAGAATTAATAACATCAACTTTGACAAATAGGCAATAGGCAAGATAACTTATCCTGAAAATAGTCCCTAGAAATATATTAGTTGATAAACGTCAGATGAGGCAGACATTTGTAACCCAGCCTATCCTGAAATTAGTCCTGAAAAGTTATATGCAACACCAAAATATAAATTGGGTCTCGATATTTCCATTTCAGGTTTAATCCTCCCACAGTTTATAACTTCTTACCTGGAGGAGTGAGGCAGAAAGCAGAAGGGAATCTGTAGACATCCTGAAAAGATTTCTAGAGTAGAACATGTACAATATTGCCAATTTAAGTGGCTGTATCTCTATATACCACTAACACTTTAAATATCACATCCTTTAACTAGGCGAAATGGTGCAGTGTAGGTCAACAATTTATGAAGCAAGATGCTTCAAATAGGCTAACTTTCAGGATCCATGACTCACAAAGGAATGGAATTTGGGGAAGTTGTAGCTGCTTCAGTGCTACTGGCTGCTGCTGTGATCACCTGATCTTCATTTTCAATGTTCCAGGACAGTGTCCCAACCAGCCTTGCAATCCATCTCTCCTTCCTCACCCAGCAGCTACCACTTACCTGCAGGACAGGGAGTGGATGGAAGGAGGGGAGGGAAGGGCAGGAAGAGGGAGGGAGGGAGAGAAGGAAGGAAGGAAGGAAGGAAGGAAGGAAGGAAGGAAGGAAGGAAGGAAGGAAGGAAGGAAGGAAGGAAGGAAGGAAGGAAGATTTCTGATGCTCCCTGCTAGCTTCCCACAAGGAAATTCAATTTTAGGTTTAGATAAGAACCCCAAATGTGTTTTTCAAAATGCAACTGGATTTTCTTCATTTTCTCTTTGTAAATGTTTCGCTTCTCATCCAAGACGCTTCTTCAGTTTTCGATGAGAAGTGAAACATTTTCAAAAAAACCCCAAAGAAAGTCCAGTTGCATTTTGAAAAGCACCTTCGGAATAACCATGATCTGGATGATTGAGAATCTCCACAGCCATTTAAGTAAGGAAATATTTTTGAAACTATGATCCAATGAGGCACAGATTGTCTAATATCTTCTATTAACCTTGATTAATTTTGACTGGTTTAAATATCCACATTTTAACTTTTCTATTAAAATCTGGCACTGAGGAAAGAAAGTGTGATGTTCTCATCCATTAGAACACTGTGCCTGTGGTATAGCAAAATCACAACTTTATTTCCACTGAAATAGGTATGCAATATTTTGGCTGTAAATATCCAGATGACCTCTGGATGGCATCAGATGATTAGAGTTTTCTATTATCTCTTTGCTGTGTTTGACTGTTTCTTGATTTTTTACAGATATACATCTGTAACCCAGTTGAAAATGCCTTGTTTAATGGAGCCTTCTCCAGCCTTGCAAACTGTTGCAAACTTGCAAAATGCAAATGTCATCATTCCTAAACAATGAAGTCCCATAGTTCCGGAAGACACCAAGTTGGAGAAGATGGGTTTAGCATTTTAACAATTATGTACTGAGTCACAGCAAAAATCTGGACTAAGGTTTCCATTTGATGGAAATCCAACTAAAACAAAAAATTGGTTATATTGTGTCTCTATACAAGGATAAACTTGTATGGACTGACCAGTCATTTTTACCTGTTCTTTCACATCTGATATAGTATTCTGCTCCAGCATTATTTTTAGGTAATAATTTTCCCAATCTCTTATGTAGCATTATGGTTATGAATGCAGCAAAGTGCATATCCTTTTGAGGATAGTGTAAAATTTTTCTTTAAAAAGGTAGAGAGAAAAATTCATTAGAAGCCATAAACCATGAGCAATATTTAAATTCATATTTTAAAAGCTTCTGGCTAAAATTAAGTATAACCCTACATTTATGCAAAGGTCAATTGTGATTCTAATTACCAGCCAGTATTTGAACTGTGCAATTATAACTCATATGAATGGACTTTGCCGCCTGCTTTTAAGCTTCTTTATAAACAGAATCAGGATTTTAATTCTACCTTGACAGCTGAGAGGAGCAATAGCAGTGGCAAACCTCGGCATCCCTCACCTCATTTTCCAAAGCAGAATTTATTCTGGTTTAATTAATGCATTCTTTCACTAGAGTCATTTTAATGCAGCAAAGAGCAGCTTTAAAGTTATGTCTGTCTGTCTGTTGAGGGAAGGTAGAAGAGATTTGACACTCATCTCATTGGCTGAGAATTTTGGGAATTGATGATCTGGTCTGAGAAATAATTTTAAAACATGTGCTTGCTGGATCAGACTGGAGATCTGTATAGTCCAGCATCCCACTGGGGCCAACTAGATGATATTAGGAAAACAGCTAACAAGACATGAGCGTAACAGCACCCTCCCTTTTCTGCTCCCGGGAACTTTTCCTCAGAGACATCCTGCATTTGGTTTTTCTCGTAATTAATAGTCATTGTGACTTACAACCACTGATGACTTCGCCATGAATCTGCCTAATCCTCCCTTTAATCTAGCCAAGCTTAAAGTGATTACTGCTGTTATATCTGAGAAGTCATGCATAGGATTGCACTGTCATTTATCCTTGGACAATCTCCTAAGGTGGGTTAACATTGTAATCTCCAGAGCTCATCCAAACAACATTGATGCTTGAGTCCGAGAAAGAAAAAATGATGTGCCAGTTTATATACAAAATGCTCCTACGTAAATTTGTGGGTTATTCCACGATAGTAATGATGGACTGATTGTTTTCTACCACATATGAATGCAGCAAACTAGTTTTGGCACAGATGGCACACGGCTCTTTTGATCCTTCAACAATTTGTTGGTCCTCTCCAGCACCTACCACCTGAGCGAGTTCACGGCTGAAGTAAAATTTGAACCTACTTCTTCGCATTACAAGTTACGAGCAAAAGTTCTGCAATAACATTATTAGAAAATCATCCAGCATATATAAAAAATTATCACAAAGCTCCTGGCTCAGTATTCTGAGTGAACAAAATCCAAGGAGGGTAAATTAAAACCAGCTCTTGATGTGACTGAGAAGAAGAAGCTAGTAAAAGATTGCCAAATATTTTCATTCACAGAAGTCAGAGTCAAGATAAATATCACCAAAAGACAGAAGGCAATCGGAGTCATATTACATGCAACATATCCCACCCGTCCAGTTGTTCATACAATATTATTGGAGAAACAGTCTCAAGAGACAATTATAGTTATCTTTTTAACATCTTTTTTGGCCACTTGATATGGAAATAATTGATTCTAATTCCCTGTATTGTCTAAAATACATAACACAGTAGGAAAAAAAACTCTGCCTAAGAACCGGCTCTTTGCACATCAAAAGCACCAAAAATATATTGGAGAAAGATGGTTTATTTGACTTGAGAGCTTTATGAAAATATTTTGATAGAATTCTAATGATGTCAAATCAAAATCTCAGGTTCCATGACATATAAGGAAGAAATCTGGTTTTGCAAATCATTGTTTTATCACCCACTTTCATCCCACAATTCTCCTATTTACAAGAACAATTGTTAGATATTGAATCTGCAGAGATCAATACAATATAAGATACAGTAATTCCCTCTATTCTTGGGATATGGGTTTTGTGTGTGCCATGTGAGCCGGTCAACGTAAGTTACAACCTGAAGGCATTAATAGTCAGTTTATCAATTTACACCTGGAATATACAGCTGGGAAAAAAAAATTTAGATCCATTTTTTTTTTGTCTAAAACACATTTTTACTTTTTTATGTTATCAATTTTATTAGCAACTGTAAGAAATTGTATAATCTGAAACATCAGTCTCTTGTTCCAATTTTTTATTAGTGAATAGATTATGAAAAATGTATAAGGTGACCTTTCCCATTAAAACCTAACTGTAATTTTTGAATAACATATTATTTGCATTTTTTTTCCAAAATTTGATGATGCTCCCAAAAGCAACTTGGTCCATGAAAATTATGTATTCATTAAAGCTTTCAAACATCACTGAAGAATGCAAGTCAGGAATCTAGTAAATTCATATTTTCAGCTATTTTTTGGCAGTTATGGTGTTATGTTTCTATTTCAAATGAAGCCATTTGTTACCACTGTTGGGTAAGCGTGTGCTAAAAGTGTGATGAAGGAAAACCATTAAGGATTGCCCATCAATGCCAGACTTAAATGAAGTGGGGCCAGGGGTGTCAGCAGGTTCTGACAGGTTCTGGAGAACCGGTAGCGGAAATTTTGAGTAGTTCAGAGAACCGGCAAATACTACCTCTGACTGGCCCCAGAGTGGGGTGGGAATGGGGATTTTGCAGTATCCTTCCCCTGGAGTGGGGTGGGAATGGAGATTTTGCAGTATCCTTCCCCTGCCACGCCCACCAAGCCATGCCCACAGAACTGGTAGTAAAAAAATTGTATTTCACCACTGGGTGGGGCAATTAGAACTTCAAGGTCCAAAGCTTAAGTAATTGGTCTTCCGTTATCTCTTAATATTGTCATTATTTATTTATTTTGGATACGCAGAATAGTTATACACCTCCTGTCATATACAACATATGCAGGTGGTATACCGAAATGGAAAATAGGAACATACATTAAAATAGAATCACCCACACAAATAACACATAACCATGGCCCTAATTAATGGAAGAACATCTTAATAAAACTCCAGTGCAAAAAAAAAGGGGGGGGGGAATATCAACATGTACCTAAGGACAACAGCACAGGTACACGTTTTATTTCTGGATTTTGCATTATTCCTTTCTTATTTGACTCCTTTGGAAGTAAAAGTTAATTTGCCCCAGAAGCTTTCCCTCACGTAAAACTGTCTAATGCGTTACTGCAACTTGGACCTGAAAATTCCTCTTAATTATTATCTCTGTAAAAAGACACAGTGCTTCATCACCTGTAGTTTATAATACTATAAACTAATGCTATTAAAAATACAATGGATACATAGCCTCTTATCATTTTTTTCAGGAAAGCAGAGGGACAAATTCCTTCTATGCCATTTATTTGCATAAAAATGAAGACATAATCATAGTTTATGTTCTGTGCTAGATAACCATTACAAAGCATAAGGATGCATTATATGCAAATATTGGCGCTGGGGACTTTCTATCATTGGTGGTGGATGAGGTGGCACAGCCTCAGACAGACCCAATACACAATCTATTGGTCCTCCTGGACTCACAGACTTCTGCTCAAAGAACAACTGGCAGCCATGGTTAGGAGGAACCTTGCACGCCTTCAGGTTGGGTGCCAGTTGCACCCATTCCTGGACCAGAAGGCCCTGCTCATTGACACTCATGACCTTGTGACCTCCTGTCTGGACCACAGCAATGCACTCTATATGGGGCTGCTCTTGAAGAATGTTTGGAAGCTTCAGCTGCTGCAGAAGACACAGCACTGGTAGTAAATCATACCAATTATTCTGCGCATAAAACATCTCTACTCTAGGAAATGCATTGGTTGCCAGTGTGCTTCCTGTGCAATTCAAGGTGCTGGTTGCCACCTTTAAAGCTTGGGACTGTATTACCTGAGAGACTGTTTTCCCCAATTTTTTCTACTGGTCCAATCTTGCCAGGCAGGATGGATATCGTTTGGGTCCATTGGCTAAGGAATGCCAGTGAATGGGGCCTAGAAGACATACATTTTCTCCTGTAGCACCCACCTTATGGAACATTCTCTCTTGGAAATAGTATAAATTCTTAAGTTTGTGCCGGGCCTAGGGCCTTGAGCGTGTTCACAGTCCTGATTTCTTTAGTCATAATGATGGGCAATTTATTTTCAGCTGTTATGTATTTTATTTTTTGTATTGTTTTAATTATTTTTAATTTTTAGAATGTGTTTGTCACCCAGCGTCACTTCAAGAGATTAGAGACCAGCCATACAAAGCAAACAAATGAATATTGTAGGCTTAATGGGTGTCCCTCAACACATGTGCAGACATGCCCATAAATATATACAGGCAGAAATATGTTTCATAACATATTGTAGTGAAAACTGAATTCATACATCTTTTCTAAGTAGTGTCTTTTTGTAACAACAATACTATGTGATAGAGGGATGGACAGCATATAAATTTAATAAATAGTTAAATAAATAAACAATATTGCTAGAAATCCATTTTGAGCCTTTCATAGCTATGATTGTATGGCGATACTGGTTTCCTCAAGATAAACTCTGTCTGGTCCAGACTCCTTTCAGAATATTTATTTTTGTAATCATTCTTTTTCTCCATGTCCCAATTATTTTGCCTTTTTAAGTACATCAATATGTGTGTTAATTTTGTTTACTTTGATATTGCTGACATATCTGAAGCGCTTCATGTGAGAGTTATGCCTGAAATATTTTGTTTTATATGACTATTGGCTATTCCTTGGATTTTAGTCAGAAAAAGCATTTGGCAACCCAAGAACAGGCCTCCAAATGGCAATTTACTATGGAGCTTTGAAGGACTGATTTCATGTAAGCATGCAAAAAAAAAAAAAAAATGCAGCCAAAGTCATTTTCATGTTGGTCTATAGAAAAAGATGAGTAACTATTCACTGTTCTTGTAAGAATAAGGAACTTCGTGGGAAGGGTACTTCTATTTACTAACCCACTTAATACAAGGTGCATCATACTGAACTCCAGCTGTTTTGAAACATGATCTCTCAACTTTCTTTCCTCATATCCAGCAGTTTAATTTTCTCCTTTTCTTCTTTTTGATCATCTATGCTTTAAAGGAACTTCCTCTCTCTGCCTAATGGTGAAGTCATCCATGTGAAGTTAATAAATATGCCAATTATAGGAGATAGAAGAGGAAGGGCTATTCTAATCCAACATCCTGATCCTGAAGTTCTCAGTGCCTCCCATAGTCATGTGACCACATTTCGGACACTCGGCTACTAGCCTGCCTTTATGGCTGTTTGAAGCATCCTGTAGTCATCCCAAAGTGCTTTTTGCAAGACATAACTGGACTTTCTTGCTTTCCTTTGAAGACGTTTTGCTCCTCATCCAAAAAGCTTCTTCATTCAGTTGAAGAAGCTTCAAATAGCACCTTTAGGACAACCATGGATGACTGAGAATCTTCAGAGACATCTTGTA